GGAAAGAGTAATGTGTATTCCATTAACACAGTGGAACAATTTTTTCAGATCAATAAGACGTTTAGCTTGCAGCTTTGAAAGCCAAGCTAGACAAAATTTTTTTCTTTTTTCCTCTTACATTTGTCTCCCTATTGTTTAGGTCTATAAACTTGTAACTGCTAAGCATACAATGGCAATTTTAAAAACCATTGTTTATCTGCATGCTGCCATTATTCTTCTGGTCTTTACTTTCTGACTGGGCACCAGCGCCCAAGGTAAGACAGTGAGAGAGGACTTACTAAAGCATTGCCTAACTTCTGTCATGAACAGCAGTGGGTATTTAATGACTCAGTGACTGCTACTGAATACAACAGAATCCAACTGAATACAGTAGATTATCTACAAAAATAATATAGATAAGAAGTGCAGATTATAAGTTATTCATAGCACACACTTTATAAACCCATTCCATGAAACTTAACATTAAGCAGTACTTGGTATAAAAGCCCTAGAATAAAAATACTTACAGTTTATATTCAATTTCTGAGAAGTTACTCTCTCTTTCGGTTCAAAGTCCATATCATCAATTGGTAATTTAGCCACACAGGTAATCTCTTTCCCAGTATCTCCAGCCGTAGGATTAAATGAATATGTCACAGTTTTGTTCTCTGTATTTGTGTTGCTATCTCCATAAAAATTTTCTGTATGAAGAAGGTCTTCCCCTTTCTTCAGGAGTACTTCCAGTCGATCAGAAGGATACACCTCAGGAATTCTACAGGTGATCGTGACTGGTTCTCCAGCAACTGGTGGACTGATCTCAATGACAGGATCACTGGGGAAAGCTAGAAGAATAAAATCCATTTCTTTAGTCTAGAGGAGATGAGCTCTAGGGTCAACATAAGAGCAAACATAAGAGCAAGATCCAGACATCAAACATCTTGAGTTTAGAGGCATTCAGAACATGATGTTATATCAACTTTATTACAAGACTTATGTTGATATGAAGACATACTGGTCTTTTATAAGCAGTTCATACACTAACAGGAATTATATTTGTACAGTTGTTGAAATATGATCCTAAGTGATCCGATAAGACCCAGCGAGGCACCTAGGCCGTGATACAGCTGCCTAAATATAGGCATCCAGAGCAATGTATACACTGGTGGTATCCTGTTTTCTGTGCTGGTAGGTTTAGGCATCTGAATCATTCCCCTGCAAACTGCAAAGGCTTTGATCAGGTTGCTCTGCGCTGGCAGGTTTCCCAAATACATCCATCTCAACCACATTGGTTGGGGTTTTTTTATGCCGGCTCTATGAATGTTTTGGGGAGCCTATATTTTGGCTTTCAAGTATTACCAAGAATAAATAAGACCAGTATGTATTATCTTCAGTGCAGAAAGCTAAGCAGAAAGTGGCTGAGAAAGAATCCCGAACAGATAGAGAAAGGAATCCTGTAAGGAAGTATATGTTGAGCTATAGCAGGCTCATTATCCTAGCATTATCAGTTAACTACCAACCACGATATCTAAAACCAGTTATTGACTTTTTACAAACATGTACTACTTAAAGAGAATTTTACATTTCTACTTACAGTAAAGTTCAACTTTGACAGTCTTCTCTTTTTTCTCTTCCTTAGCACAGAAGACAGTACACAGGTAAGCATGAGAATTCAGAATGCTAACTGGATTCATAGTCAAGGTAGAGTATGTCCCATAGTTGTTCACTGTTCCTCCAAGGGGGCTGTCCATCTGGGTTCTCCAGGAAAACCTTGGTGATGCACAGCCAGTGCTATTGCATGTGAGTATGACTGTTTTTCCAATCTGTGCAGCAATTCTGTCAGCAGGTATCAGCTCCGTTTCAAAAGCTTTAACTGTAACAGGGAGAACACACATAAACTCAGCAGCATTCTCAACATCTATTTTCCCATTTCTTCTCCTGTTCTGCTGTGACATGAGGTCATTACTTTGCAAGTTTACTTTACAGTTGTGTGGAGGTTAAACTAATAAAGCTCATACAGTGGTTTACACCTCCAAAACACCCTATAAAGATTTTTGTCAAAGATAATACAGACTTAGATGACTCTAGCAGACAGTGCTTACGTAGAAAATGGCATAAACCCAAAGCTGACCCAAAGTGAAAATCAATGCACTGGCACAATATAATGTTTTGTAGAAAATGGCATAAACCCAAAGCTGACGGTGAAAATCAATGCACTGGCACAATATAATGTTTTTTTGCTGGGTGGATCTGATTGTAAAACTTTGTAACGTTTGAGGGGTAGTGAGTAAGATAGCAAGGACAACTGCAGAATCACTTTCAACAGGACATTTAGTATCAAACTTGACTGATACTATCAGGGGTGACAGTAGATACCAAACATGCAGTGATACACTGCAGCTGCCTCCTAGACTGCCTTTTAGCAAACTCAGTAAGAAAATGACTGTGTCATTGCAGAGCACAGAAATGCCCCAAATAAATGGCAAAACCAGCTTCCTGACATTTTGACAGAACTACTTAATAGACAGTTGTATTCACTGAAATGCAAAAGCAACTGGAACAAAGAGAAATAAAGATCAAAGAGTAAATTGTAGGTCAGTTTACACTTAGCAAAATTAAAAAGAAAGCAAGCACCCCCCCACCCCCCAACTTACCAGTCATTAACACATACGAAATTATTAGCACAGCTTGGCTTGTTCTTCCCATCTGTTCTAACATCTGTAATTGCTGTTACTAGGCACAGAAAGTAAATTCAAAAGCCTTGCTCTCTATTTGCTGTGAAGAAGCACGGTGAGATCCTGCTGCCCTGCAACAGTTCATCCAAAAGGAGCCAGCACGCTCTTTATAAAGGCTCTCCTTGAGGTGGAGTGGGAAATCTCTGGACAGGGAAATTCAGAGCAGAGAGGAAGAGATCCATGCCAGGCTGTGCCGGTGGGCTCAGCGCCCTCTGCTGCTGTTTTTAATAGAGAATTTAAAGCCCAGGAGAACAATAAATATTAACGTGTATAAACACGGTGCCTACTACACTTAAAAAGACCAAGCCAAGATCTGACTCTGCAGACAACTGATAAAATGAAAGAATGTGGGTAATTCTGAGTAATTGAATGGCACTATATGTCAGAGGGAAGAGTTATTCAAGTTTGCTTTTAGTGCAAATATTTTTGTAGGGCTGTGTCTTGAGAATACATCTAACGACACTCAATTCTGTAAATAGCTTTGCCTAATTCAGTATTCCTTTTAAAAACTGTGCTAGCAGTTTAAGAGGTGATGCTACTCATGTTCCTAAGTATTTCTGATCCCTAAAAATTAAGAAATAAATCAAATAACAGAAGTCTGGAGCTCTGGTTTGATCAGCTTGAATCAGGCTCAGCCTGTTCGGATGAATTGAATGAACCAATTTTCCCAATTCCACTTTAAAAATGTCTAAAGTGTCCCTCTTTCAAGATGCTACTGGTATGCATTACATTACCAATATGCCTCTTGGATCTCTCATGTCCTGTTTCTGTATAATTGAAATCTAGACATTGATAATACAACTCTGGGATAAACAAACTGGGATGAACGATCAGTGTTTGGTTTCCGGTGGGTATACAAATCCAGTTTGGAATATTTCCTAGGACAACTATTACTGGTTAATATAGCAACAATATGATGAAAAAAGTTAAACAACATTTTCAGTGTTTAATTTTCAATTGGGAAATGCTATGCATGCAAAGAATGGATAAAGGTTTCCAAATCTCAGCTGTTTGTTTAACCAACTACTCAAGTAGTTCATATTGGTCAATTTATCACTAAATAAAAGCAGCAAGAAATTCAAAACAAAACATGTATGTTTTTAAAATGCCTCTGGCAAATCATTTGGTCTCTAATAGTTTGGTCACTTGATGTCTATGAAATATTGCCATCACAAAGTATATTTTATAAACAGGACAGATTCAAATACCTAGTAAATGAGTAATAACTTGGAAAAAAATAAAGGCTGAAGTAACAATGCTGTAAATGCTAAAGAAATTTAATTGCTGAAAAGCTGGTGCTGCATCAATCTAATACTTATTTTGAGTCAAGCAGATTTTATGGTTAGTAACCTAATGCTAGCTCCAAAATACCACGTTCAGGTGAGAATAGTACCAGAGGAAATAAGGCTCCCACTGTCCTAGGGGTAGCATGTCGTCTTTAGGAACTGGTTTTTTTCTGCTTTTTCCCCTGACTGCAGCTGCCCTTACATTTGCATCCTTGCCAAAGGATAGCTGGACAGTACAAGCTGCCTTAGAAACACCAAAACACTTTGTAATAAATACATTTATGACTCTGTCAAAGACCCTACGCTAGGTAAAATAAGAAGCATCGACCACTTTTTTTCGTACACTTATCCTAAACTCATAAATACAAAAAGGATGTAATGATTGTGAGAAGATAAAATTGTGATCCCAGGCAGAAAGTATATCTTCAAATTAAATAAATAATAATTATTAAAACCAACAATATTCAGAAATATGGAAAAACTAAACAAGGCAACCAACCAAGGAATTACCCAGAAGAACATAAAACAGGGAAATCTGAAGCACCTAGCAATGCCTAACGAAAAATCACTAAAGCTGAAATTCACTGAAACTGCCACAGTGGATTCTCCCATAATGTATTATTTTTATTATCACCATCATTGTTTTTATTAAAGAAGGAAAAAAGAATAATCTCATATGTTTCAGGAAATGCAAGTAGAGTACTGTTCTGGAAGTACTGTTATCAAATCCAGAAACCCCAAATCTATGCAGAGTAGGTAACAACATCTGCAGAATGTGACCGTACTTCACAGAAGAGGGTTTTGCCGAAGAAAAGTAAACCCTCCTAGTTAAGTTGCAAATAAATACTTTTTAATCATAGGCAGAGAGAAGCAAGAAATGAAACTCTTCTGCTTTGACAGCTTAAATAATCACAGGCTAAGCCGAAGGAGAAAAGGCAAAATTTCCCTATTTCTGGGAAATCAGTTTCTAGACACAAAAAGAGATAAACATGGGAGGCCATATCCGCATGCTGGAAAAACTGTAATCAAGTCCTTCATCAGATAACGTGAAATAGGAAATAACTCTGATCCAGCACTCAGTAAATTAAACTGGACAGCTGCCATTAAGTGTACTGGAGTTGGATCCTTACCAGAAGGACTACTATACTGAGCGAGCGGACAAATTTAACTCAGATGGTATAGGTAATAGCAGGGTTAGCCAACAAATATTACTAAAGGAAGTACAGATCTGCCACAAAATTCAAAAATTTCTTAAAACTTGCTCTTCACCCAGCTTCGAATGTGAGTCTTCCATGTATTTGAAAAAGAATTTGTGCTTTACTGTTGCTCCTACTATCCTCAACATCAGCCTGCAAATAGGACAGCAAGTATCAGGTTTGCTTATTTTCAGAACTGGCCGTTCTGTCTGAAACCAAATAGAGATTAGCTGCCAAGTTCTCGCAGTTGACCTCAGGAGTTCAGATAATCTAGTTTTTTATTCAAATGGCACAGAGAAAGCTGCTGGGGATAAAAATAGAGGATGCACCTGGATTCAGAGTGAGATCAAGCGTTACAGGATCAACTGGAAGAAATGCTGACACATGCAGAGCATAATGAAGACTGGAATGTAACAAGTATTACAGAAATATTACTAAAGGCAAGAGAGATTAAAAGAATTAAGCACTGGGATGTACATATATGTTTTCCAATACATCTAGTAATCAAAAGAGACTTTTCTCAGGCTTTGATGGACAAAGATAACACAATTGTGTGTCTCAGAAGGGAGTTTGGAAATACTGAACACGTTATTTTTGGCCTGGCATCAAAAAATACAAGTGTTCTTCAGGAAACTGAAACTTACTTCAGACTTCTGGAATATAAGAAAAGAAAAAGCATCTCAGAACTGTGCTAAGCATTTACTTTAACTCATACTTCTACAACCCTGCTAAATACCTATATGATGAACTTCAGTTAATTTCCTCTAGACAAAAGAGATAACAAGTTCTTGATACCTTAATGAATTATTTGAACAAAATGTGCGTTATCAAACATTTGTAACCCTCTTCCTGCATTTTTAATGTCCTGCACTGCCTCATGGAAGCTAGCAGAGGAAAGCTGAAAGGCTAAACCTCATGCAGAATTCGGTCTCTTATAACCTTCACCACTGGTTTTGCAATTTACGGCTAAGGACCTATGGAGAAGAGGGCTAATCCTTCTCTTTTGGCAGAGGAGATTTATAAAAACAGGTAGAAGGACACTCATCTAATTTGACATTCCATTTCCTGTGTCAGCAATAAAACACTTCATGGCACTTCACCCCAGTATCTGCATCTAGAGCCACCATTTGGGATTTCTGCTAAAATACCCAGTGCTGGAGTAATACCTTCTACACAGGGCCCCAACGCAGAAACATAAGCAATGTGTTTGTTACTAAGGACCTTTGTGTCCCATCAGCTTGAGAGGGCAGAATCCTTCTGCAGAAGGCACGGTGTTCAGGAGAGAAGGTGCAGCTAAGGCTAACTCAACAGTTCTTCAGCCTCAGATCATAGAGGTATTACAGCACGTTCATACTTAGGTCCCCTGTTCAAACTGCAGCCCTCACCCATTCTCATGGAAGACCTCCTTGGGATGCACATTGGACGTCTGAGTAGAAGAAAGCCTCTTACAGAGTTTCTGGTTTCTGATGCTTTACAGACGCAGCTGGGATGAAGAGCTTTCACCCCAGGCAAAGAGTGTCCGATACCTCCACAGTATGACCATGTCTAAAGAATTAAAGCAAGAGGAATGTGCTGTAACTCAAACGAGAACTATTCTTGCAGTGAAAACATATCTGCATCAACACAGGAGGAATGCCCTTCAGACACCGCATCCAAGGTAACACCTTTAATATGGCTGTATCTTGATCAAATAACTGAAAAACCATGAAGTTGGAGGACACGTATGAATACTGCTGACTATATGGCTTATACAGCAGATAATGATCTGCCAGCCTCAAAGTTTTCGGTTCTCAGCAACCTCAAGAGGTTATACAGTGCCTTTCCTTCCTCAGTGCCTACTGGCTTTTTGGTTCCCAGTGCTCCCCTGACCCTTTGCTTTCCCTAACTCCTTCTTTCTCATCACCTGACACTAATACAACCTCTGTATAGCTCCCAAGAGGGGGAGGAGAGCATCACTGGCTCCCTATAATTTTCATCTCTGGATGGGAAGGATGAGATCTACATGCAGATCTATTTAAAGGGTTGTGCCTGTTTCAGGGATTGTAACTTTGTTCCTAGCTACAAAAAGAACACCAACGCATTACCCTATAACCCACATCGCAACTTGCAATTGTACTCCACATCTAACTTGTCATCTGTTGACAACAGGGAAAAAAGAAACAACTTAAGAAAGTTTTCTCATCTACTTCCCTCCCTTTTCTGGAATTTCTGAAATACCATATATAAAAATAAATGGGTCTACTTCCTTCATTATCTTTCTCACGCACCAGCTCCCCAGCTATGACACTTCCCGTTTGGTGCCTGAAGGCATTCAGATTCCACAAAAGATACCAAATAAAATAATACAGAAGTAGGACAGCTTGCATAGACTACAAAATAGCTAATTTATTATTTTCTTCTATCAAAAGGCATTTTCTATTTCATTTCACAGAAGGAACAAGTTCATTAAAAAATAAATAGAAGCCACTAGAGAAAAAAAGTCCCTACTT